CATACGATGAGGTGCTTTGCTTTCATTTCCCTTGCTAAGGTCAACCCGGCGATCAACGCTCCATACTCTGCCTCATTGTTCGATGCTTCGAATCCAAACCAAAGAGCATAATCCAACTTCACCTCGCTTGAGTCGTACAGTATCAGTCCTGCACCGCTTCCCCGCTGGTTGGATGAGCCGTCAACGTAGAGGATCCAGGGCTCTTCGTCCTAGGTCGGTACCACTCTGACTAGGCCCGGTGCCGCACTGGTTGACACTTCCGTCGTGTGAGCGAGGTCAGTCAATTCGGGGGTCGCTGCGCCGAACGTGCACTCTGCTATGAAGTCTGCCAAGACCTGGGCTTTGATTGCTGGTCATGGCTCATACCGGATATCGTATTCGCTCAGCTCGATGGACCACTTCGTTAACCTTTTAGATACCTCAGGTTTAAGCAGAATCCGCCTCGGGGGTTTGTTGGTGAGAACAATGATAGTGTGGGCCTAGAAGTATGGGCGAAGTTTCCAGGTTGCTATGACCAGCACATACGCTAGTTTCTCGATCTCCGGATACCTAGTCTCTACATCCTGCAAAACTTTACTAACGTAGTAGATGGGTCGTTGGACCCGATCTACTTCTTTGCTCAGTACCGAACTAACAACTTCGTCGCTTGCGGAGAGGTATAGTTTTAACACGTCCCCTTCTTCAAGCCGAGTTAAAACTGGAGCGATACTTAAGTACTTTTTTAGCTTGTTAAAAGTGAGTTGGCATTCTTCGGTCCATTCGAAGTTCTTGCTCTTTTTTATAGCTTTAAAAAAAGGTAGGCATCGGTTTGCCGATTTAGACATGAAGTGGCTTAGGGCAGCTATCCGGCCAGTCAGCCTCTGGACTTCTTTTATTTTCTGGGGTGGTCTCATATCTAGGATTGCCTTTATTTTTTCTAGGTTGGCCTTGATGCCACGTCGGTTGACTATATAGCTTAGGAATTTACTCGAAGTGACTTCGAAGACGCATTTATTCGGATTTAATTTCATATTATATCTTCTTAAAATTTGAAAAATATCATTTAAATCATTCAACAAAGAGTTTGAAAACTAGGTCTTCACGACCATGTCATCAACATAACATTCTACTTTATTGCCGATCAACGGTTCAAAAACCCAAGCTCAGTTATGAAAGCGGTCTTGTCTTTGTCAGTAGAATCCATCCTAATCTGGTTGTAACCAGAATAGGAGTTCAGAAAACTCAGCAACTCATGCGAAAAACAGTAGGTGGTCGATCTTGGGCAGCGAAAAACAGTCTTTCAGGCAGGCTCTATTCAGGTTGATGTAGTCAATGCACATGCGCCACTTGCCACTGGCCTTCTTCACCAGAACTGGGTTGGCCACCCAGCTCGGGTAATGGACTTCCCTGATGAAGTCTGCCGCGAGGAGCTTCCTGACCTCCTCATCGACTACCCTCCAACGTTCTGGGATGAGGTTGCGTTTCTTTTGTCTTATTGGCCTGATTAAAGGGTCGGCATTAAACTTGTGAGTTATAATTTTTTGATCAATCTCGGGCATCTCTATCGCAGACCAAGCAAAAATATCTAAATTTTCAAGTAAAAAACTTACTAGCTGGGTTCGAAGTGGTTCGTTGATCGATGCACCGATCTGAAGAGTTTTGGTTGGTTCGACGACAGAGACTAGTGTGTGGACCGTTTCTTCTTTCAGGGCAGCTCGCTCGTTGGTATACTCCACTGGTTGCTCGAGTTTGATGTCCTCTGCTAGCTTTGCTTTTCCTTTCAAAGCGGCCACGTAGCACTTGCAGGATTCGAGCTGATCACCTCGCATGACTCACACCCTATAGTTAGTTGGGAATTTCATCGCTAAGTAGTAAGTGGACACTATCGCACGCAAAACGTGCGTGATAGACCGACCTACTATCGCATTGTAGGAGGAGGGAGTCATGACTACCAAGAACGTGTGCTCAAATCGTACAATGTTTGGCCACGTGCTTGCTTCCACGGGTAATGTGACTCGACCAAGAGGTCTGACCTCTTCGCTGCTGAACCCTATCAAGGGTGTATCTACCAGTTTCTGGTTGCTCTGCTATAACTGTAATTTGTTGAAGGTCTCCTTGAAGAGTATGTCTACTGAAATGCCTGAGTCTAGTAAGATGCGTTTCACCTCGAAGTCGTTGATCCTTAGCTTCACCACTAAAGCATCATCGTGCAGGTACGGGATCCCGCGCGCGTCGTCCTCTGTGAAGTAGATAGGTTCTTCGAGCCGAGTTCGCTTTGGTGGGTTTTCGCCTTCGTTCTTCAATTCCCAGACCGAGGTCCTTCCAACTACTGATGTAAATCCGACAATGATGGACCTGCTGGTGATCATATTGATCACTTCGCGAACTGGTCTTTCCTCTGGCAGCTATCAAGGTGGCTGCTCATTCTGCCTGCTAGTCTCAGGGGCATTCCTCCTTTGGTCCCCCTGTCGGTCTGCTTGTCCCCTCTCTTCTTGCAGGGTGTAATTCTTCAGGTACCCGCGACGGATAAGTTCCTTGATCTCATCGTGGAGATTTCTGCAATTTTTCGTGTTGTGTCCATGATCTCAGTGAAAATGGCAGTAGACATTTGGGTTTCTTGTTGTTGGGTTTCCCCTTAGCCTAGGAGGCCATTTGACGAAGGAGGAATCCTTAATAGCCATTAAGATCTTTCCTCGCTTAGCATTCAAAGGTGTATAGTTTGTTCTCTCCACGGGCGGGGTCCTGGAACTCCGATCTAACTTGTGCCCGCGTGAAGGGGATCGACTTCTTGACTTGCTTCTTCCCCTGCTCGGAGACTTGCTCTTCTTTCTTTTTTGTCCACCGTTGTTCGTCCCTTCATTCTCTCTCTTCCTCTTTTCTGCCGGTGGATTGTCAATCTTTTGGTTAATCTTCTCCTCGGTACCAATGAACTGGTCTGCCAACTTAAGGAACTCGGTGATATCTTTTGGTTTGTTGGCTACCACTAGCCAACACCAAACTGCTATTGTGAAATCTTTTGGTTGATCTCCTTCTCTTTTTCCACCACTTTATGATGGAAACAAAAGCTTCCTCTTCCTTTTTGATGTCATTTGGGTTCAGCCCTACCTAAGCCTCACACCAAACTGCTCTTGTGAAAGGGCATGTAAGTATATGTGAGGTTGTTTCCTTTTTGTGTCTACAAAAAGGACAATATGCTTCAGATGGGGGGAGCCATTTTGTACATTTACTTCGGGTAAGAAGGCCATTCCACACCACTTTCCAAATGGATATTATACACCTATAGGGGATATTCAGTATCCATAGATCTTTCCATGGGAAGTGTGCTTTGGAGGTGTTATGTTTCCACAAGATGTTATCATGGCTTGACTCTGTGTCAGGGGTGATTTGAAGGATATGAGAGCAGGTTTGTTCATCAAAAGTTTGGGCCAGAATATGGTGGTTCCAACTCCGGTCTGGGTTCATTAATGATGAGACATGTTGATCACAGTGAGACTGTGTCTTTTGGATGTGGGATTCCCCCTGTAATAGTTGGAACCCATGGGTCCGAGAAAACTGAGATGTTCCTGCCCGAATTGACTTGCCATATTATGTTTGTCTTCAATTCTTTTAAAAGTTTATGTGTGGAATGCCACCATAGTGTAAGTTACAAGTGATTTTGGCTTGAAATGGGCTTTGACTTGGGAAATACCGTTATTTGATGATTTGGTTCCACAATATGTTGGGAGAGGATATCATTCTCCACACCTGTTTCCCAAAGATTGCCTTGTTCATGTCTTGACTTTTTCTGAATCCTAGGCCTCCATTTTGTTTTGCTATTCTCCATTGTATTGTGTGTTTGGATTTGTTTTCACCCGCATGCCACTAGAAATCCCTCATCAACTTGTTCAGTTTGGAGAGTGTTTCATGGGGGAGAATTGTTGTCTGCATAGAATAGAATGGGATGGCTGGATCAAAGTGGTGCGACTTGCTTGGGATAGAAATCTGGAGTTCCAAGATGTGATTTTAGATATCACCCGGTCCACTAGAGGCTGATGTGTTAATATCCTATTATCTTATACGCGTAGTCGGGTGCCCAGATATTTTGTGCCTTACAAAGCCTTTCTGACCTTGAGGATGTGAGGTGTTGCAACATTGCTACTCTAAACATGATGTCGGACTTCTCATAATTTGCTTTTTGTCTCGAAAGTTGCTCAAATATGGATAGGATTTGGCTTAGAACTTTAACTTGTGACACATCCGCCTTGTAGAAAATGATGCAATCATCCGCAAATAAAAAATGGGTAACAGACATGCCGTTCATGCAAATCTTAGCTCATTCAATAAAGCCTTCACTTTCAGCACATACTAGCAATTGTGTTAGTATCTCCATTCCTATGATAAATAAATATGGGGAGAGGGGATCCCCTTGTCAGAGACCACATTTCAGTTTGAAGTGGCCATAACATTTGTCATTTAGTTTTATTGAGAAAGTTGGGGTAGAGATACATTGGTAGATCATTTGAGTCATGAAAAGCCCATTTTATTTAGTGTTTCCTTGAAAAAATTGTAGCCCATTTTATTAAAAGCTTTGGACATGAATTCCATTATGGAGTATGATGCAATTGGGGTAATAAAGCAAATTAATAAGTGGGACCCGAATTTGAGAACTGCAAATCGTGTAATCATATAGGACATTCTCAAAATCATGCCACAGGATCCTAGTCTTGTTTGTGAGATTCAGCATGTTCACGGATCTGCCAACACAATAGCACACAAAGCTTAGTCAAACTCAATATTTATGTAACTGGCCTACTTGGCTCGTAAATGCTTCACCATCTGATGTAACATTTGATTTTCAACCTACTTGATGCCTTCTAAGATATGTCTTTCCTTCGATTACCAAAAAAAAAAACGAAGCTTTAATCGCTTATAATTATTTTTTAAATAAACTTGTGGGATGAAGATGGGACCCACGATATCCCGGTGAATGAGGAGAATTTACGAGCAGTATTTCTAATATTTGTATTTGTAAGATTCAGAACGATAAGGCCCACGTTTCTCAAAATAATAAACGTAGAAAGCTTTTGATTTTGGACCGACCGCCTTTCTCTGCTCTTGCAGCTCTTTCTCTTCTTCTCCTGAATTCTGATTCGGAGGAAGTATCTCTACTTCTGTGACAATTCATTCATTCTCTTTCTCTCTCTCTCTGTCTTGGGTAGATATTATTTATTTAAAATAGAATAATAGAGATAAAAAGAAAATGCCCACCATTTCTGTATCTAAATTTATCAGTCCGTGTTCGCTCTCTTCTTCAGCTCCCACGGATGCCTTTAGGTTTACCACCCTTTTCCCTTCTTTACTACCTTTGACCAAGTTCCCTACGTGTACCCAATCCTTAATCCAACAAAGAAGAAAAACCCTAGTTTTCTCGAAATCATCTGAAACAGAGCTCTCCGCTGCAGAAGAAGAATGGCTTAAAAAGCTCCCAGACAAGAAGAAACCCTTGTATTCTCATAGCCTTCCCTGCATAGAATCTTGGTTGAAGAAATTGGGGTTTTACCAGAGCAGAGAGGATCGAGCCATCTGGTTTATCGAGAAGCCTGATTGGCACGCTCAGCTATCGCTTGACGTCACCGATCTCTATATAAGGTCTTTCTATTTACCATAAGCTCTGCCATTGAGATTCTTAGGGTTCTTTTAACTGCTCTTCTTGTTTCAGTTTTGGGGCATTCTTGAATTGACTGCGTTATTTTTTATGGTTGAAGTTAGATGGATTGTTTTGGATTTATCTGGTTTGCTTTTAAATGGGATATGGTTCTTTTTTCAAAAAAAAAAGGATATGGTTCATGCCCTTATTTCGGATTGTTTAACAATGGTAAGAAAGCAAGGGGGGGGGGGGGGGGGGGGGGGGGGGTAGGGTTGACGGCTAATTTAGGGATTTTGATTTTTTACGTAAATTCTTTGACTTTCTGGGGTCGAGCTTATATTATAGGTTTCTTGTTCAATTATTAGTTAGATACTGAATGAAGTTTGAACCCACGTGCTATTACAATCAAGAGCATTTGCATTCTTTCCCGTGGAAGGTTGCTAGATCTATTGGCATTTTGTATTTGCCTGCTCTTTTCTTTTCTGAATCTGCATGCTGATTCTCTTTGGTTGCACATAAAATGGATGTGCAAATTGAACATTTTCTGTAAAGTGAATAGTAATGTGGGAATTTGACATTGTTTCTAATTTTGCCTTACTCATTTGTCTAACAGACATCAGTATTCTCAGTCCATGTCTTGCAATATGTGTCAGCTCTCAACCATTCAGGTTCATTTTCCAGGCTAGGCAAAATACCAAGAACATTAGGGAAGTGATTTGTTTTCCTATTGAATATAATTTTCAAGGGAATCATCTGTTTGTCTTCATTTCATATGCAAGTGCAACCAAATGCAGCCTTTAACTCTTAATTATACAATGCGTGTGGATAGATTCTAGGACCATGACGTTTCTTACTCGACAGTTGAATATATAAAGAAAAGAGGCATTCAAACTTGAAGTTCATGCCCCATGAGGAGCCAAATTAAACTTCCAGGAATCTAAATCCCATCTCTATCATTTTTACTTTATTCTGCTTTCCTAGTATGAACTTAGGAGGAAACTATTCAGATCATGTTGAGATAAAGATCCCAATGATGGGACTTGTACTGTTTAACCAGAGTCTCATTTTAAAATGCTGCTTTCTTTAAGCATGCTAAAGTAGCATCTAGCTCAGATGGTTTTTATTTCATATTCCTGGGTTTTATACAGGGTATGGACACACAAACTCTTAGCTTCTTTTTTTTGAAAGATGCATAGAAATTCATTAAAAGATAAAGAGAATACAAAAGGAAGGTAATAAGAAATCACCTGAGAACAGAGTGTGGATCTTCTGGTAACAAACAATGGCAATATTGCAACATCATGTTGTATCGCCACTTGTTCCTCATATGTGGTAAAGTCCTGACATGCACGAACTTATTCTGGCATCTTAACAAAATGTTAGTTCCTTTGCAACACTGGGCATGTACTACTCCAATACTCCCCCCCCCCTCTCTCTCTTTCTTTCTAAGTCACTAAGTTGCAGGTAAGCCACCATTCCCTCAGAAGCCAACATGTGTTGGGTTTGCACCAAAACTGTGAAGAAGACCATCCTTTTAGATTTTATGCTTATTAATGCAATCTCTGATGACTAGAACTGAAGGATTTTTTTGTCTACTTAATCAGAACATACATAGAAACAATATGAAAAATCCATCCTTCTTGATTTTTAAGTAGTGGACCATTTGCTGTGATTAAAATCATCTCTACAAGACAAAAACTAGAGATTTTGGGGGTTTTGATGGCTTACATGAAGCTTGTACTGTGAGTCTATGATAAGAATTGATCCAGATAATTCACAGATAAACTTTGAAGTTGCAATGGTGGTGGGCCTTGGAATACTACAGAAATTTGTATTAGAAAACAGAACCACCGATGAACAAAATGAAATGAAATATGGGGTTGTAACTGTTATTATGGTATTTTGAAAGGGAAACTTTTTCAGGAACTAATAGCTGCATATGCAAGGACAGCATATGAGGGACAGGTGGCAATACAATATGATGTTGCTAGCAATTTTGCTAGTGTTTTGTTACCTGTGGATCTGGACTATAAAGAACAATGTTGTTAAGCTCAGAAAATTCCTAGGATATCCAACAATGTCACAGGATGTAGCAAGGGCTTTTTATTTATCTATGTGCCATTGTCAAGAAGATGAAAACACGTAGACTACCCTCAATTTGGTCTGCTGTTCCATTTCAACTTGAGATTGATGGTACCCTGGGGTATAGGCATGTCACCTCAAACTCAAAGGAGGTGAATCTGTAGCTTCGTTCCTAAGCCTTCTTATTAGGGCTGCAAATGAATTAGGTTGAATCAGATACATCTAGATCCTTAATTAATTCATCAATATTTTGGTTCGAATTGAATCTTATCCATTGAATTCAGATCAAACTTGGATTGAATTTGGATATTGCATACCATGTATAAATTAAAGTAAAAATTATCAGAATATATCTTTATTATGTAATGCTGATACTTGCCATGGTTTAACATCCAAATGACCATGCATGAAATTTAATTAATTCTTTTTCTGCCCCCACTCTCTCTGTCTCTCCATTTATTTTCCTCCCCCCACTCTCTCTATCTCGCCATTACCCCATTTTGATCCTGACCATTTGGGGTCTTGGGAGGGGTGGACTGGATATGGACCTAGCTTTCTATACTTTCTCACACAGTGGCAACTCTCAAGCTTGAATCCACATTCTCGCACTTGTCACCATGAGATTTTATTAATGACTTGTCAAAATTGGTTTAATTGTGAACTTGCTTTAGGTTCCAATAATGATTTAAGGTCTGTCCTTATAGAATGTGAACTAAAGATGTTTGAATTGAGATGCAGGTATCTGAAGAATGGACCTGGGAATCTTGAGAAAGATGTGGAGAGAAGATTCAGTTATGCACTAAGTAGAGAAGACATCGAGAATGCAATACTTGGAGGACCGTAAAGTTGATATCTACAATCCTCTTAGTTTGGGTTAAAATTGACGACATTTTAGCAACTGCTTGCCATTGAGTGAATTATTTACTTATTTGTAAGTTGGATGTTGGTTATGAAGTTTCTCCTCACTGTTGGGGAAAGTGCAAGGTTTGATTGGGCCAATACATTGTTTGTCTTCTCTTGTCTATTGTAATGAAAGATTAATTTTTCACTTTCCAGTTATTTTATTGTAACCTGGGTGGTTTAAATTTGTAAAATTTTACATGTTCTTTGGCAAAATTGTTTCTCTGTTTACAATTAAATGGACCGCAATTGGAGGTAGAAGAAAATCTAATTGTCTATAATAGTATTTTTATATGACAATGAATGTAATGGGTAACCTTCCATAAAATAAGCCTATAAAAAAAAAGAAACCATCCATAAAATAAAAGGAATAGAACGGGTAACAGAGTTCTATTAGCTTTACTTTTGTCTAGTACTGAAGTTATTATGGTTGAAAACAAAGCAAATGTATAACCGTGGGTGCCAAGTTTTAGAAATAAATAATAATTAGGTTTTGTTGACAGATTCTAAACTTTAGTAGGAGAGTTTGGCATTTTCAACAAGGTTCAAAATATTGATAAGGCTGATATGCCCGCTGTATTGAGGCTTTTTTTTTTTTTTCTATCTGGTTCAAAGGGGTCGGTTTAAGGCCTGCCAACCCCCTGAACCATGGTCTGGCCTGAAACACTCAGGGGTGTATTGGGAAGCCCCTGATACGATGTGTATCGTCAATATGTATCGAAACTTTGAACTTTGATTTTCAAATTTTAACAATTACTCAACTTGAGCCTGTCCAAGTTGCACCCATATACTCTTAACAAGACTTACAAAATTTACCAGTACATGACGGTAAGTCTTCTTAAGTCAATGCTGATTAATTTTGCATCTTCAAGGTAGCTCTTAAATCCCACTATCAGGCCTAGTGGTAAGGCTGCAATTGAATTGAGCTCTAATCAAATAATTCAGGTTCCAGTTTGATTAGGCTTGATTCAAATTCGGACCTTGGGGTAAGCTCAATTAGTTATTCGAGCTCAACAAAATGTTTGACTTGAAAGCTCGTGAGCTTGGCTCGAATAACATACATGCATGCATGCATACATATATATATATATATAAATTATAGAATATAAAAATATATTTTTTATTTATGTAATGAAAAAATATTTTTCTGTAAATATACTTTGATATTCTATATGTAATGTAAGAATATACTATATATTACAAAAGTATATCATACATACATGTTCTCAAGCTTCTTTAAAGATGCTCTTAAGGGAAATCTTCTGAAGTCGATGCTAATTATACATCTTATATTCCGTTAAGAAACAATAAACTGTAATAATATGAGTACAACAATAAAGATACATAAAGGTAAACTACACAACCTTCCCTTTATTTGCTCTGGAACCTATCCCTAGTGACATTTTTTTCATCAGAAATGTAGCAACTCAATCTGCACACTGTAAATGAGACCAGTACTCCTTGACGAGCTGCCCAAACAATGATCCTTCTCTTTGAATTAACTTCATTGGCTTGTCATACTCCACTAGTAGTCCTGAGAGAGAGAGAGGATTATCTTTAGTATTTGTGCCATTTCTTGTCCTAACAAGAGCCAATGGGTTTGACATGTATAAAAAGGCAGAGCATTCCTAGTTATATGGGTTGAAACTGTAAGACTCACCATCGCTCATGGAAATCACCATTGTGCAATCCATCACTGTGGGTATCCTGTGGGCCACCGTTATAACAGTGCAGTCTGCAAATTCAGTCCTTATTGTTTTCTGGAGAATAGTGTCTGTTGCATTGTCTATTGATGCAGTGGCTTCATCAAGTACCAATATCCTGCTTCTCCTTAACAGTACACGGCCCAGACAAAACAATTGTCGCTGTCCCATGCTCCAGTTTGATCCATCTCCTACAACTGCAGTATGGATTGTAAATAACAGTTCTTGGTAAAAAGCAAAGCAGATCAGGTGGTTAAAACTTTACCTAATGAATCCAGACTGCCTTCTTTCTCTCTAACAGCTTCTCGAAGCTGACATTTTCCCAGAACCTTTCAGAAAATTGCATGAAAAATTACCAGTGAGCAACAACAGGTTAAAAAACGATAACTTAAAGTGCAGCAGCTTCTTAAGAAAATTGAAGTTAAATTAATTAAGCTACTGTGCACTTATGAGATGATCAAGACTTTGAATTAGGAGAAATCGCTATTATTATGAACTGTTGTGACAATTCCCTAACGAATTGGTAATTACATTTATGTCAAGAAACCTAACAGGCTTGTGCAAGGGACAATTCGTGCAAATACACATTCCTGCATGGTGTAATACTGGATTTACTTTCTTACTTACTTGTCTTTTCATTTAGTTGCCTAGCAATCTCTTCCATGTAATTAAAAGGGATTGACGACATGCCTCAATATAAGGATTCTGAGGCTCCCATTTTTCCTGATCAAATAACTATCAAACAACTCTATTTAATATAATTTTTGTTCAACTTTTATTGTCTAGTGCATTTAATAAGGAACTCATCCAAGTCAAGTTTACCCTGAAGCAAATCTATACTCTGTTTTATCCAAGTCAAATTTCCTGATAAAAAATAGAATTCACATGGATGATCTCTGGATCAAGTCCGAGTTTGCAGACAGTAGTTAAGGCAGGGAAGTTTAGAGCAAATTTTCCTGCAGCTTGATGGATCTCCCTTTTCCAGAAGGCATTTATTTCAATGAAAAAGGGGCGAGAAACAAAGTTTTGCCACAAAATGTTCAGACAGATAAATGGCCTGCCAATCATCAAAACTACTGCAAATGTTAACAGCAACAGCAGATTAGCAGATAAAATACCTCCCATATTTCATCATCAGTATGCTGTGATAGAGGATCCAAATTATATCTAACAGTTCCATTGAAAAGTGTAGGATCTTGAGGTATGACCCCAAAACGTGATCTCAGATCATGTAGCCCAATTGTTGAGATGTCAATGTCATCAATGACAATTTTACCCCCTTCTGGTTCTACGAGACGAAATAGAGCACTGATCAAAGTTGTCTTCCCACTTCCAGTCCTACCAACAATTCCAATCTTGTCCCCACCTTCGAATGTGCAGTTGATCCCTCGAAGAACAAGTGGAGATTCAGGCCTATATCTTATCTGTTTTCATTAATTTCTTCAATGAATTAATCTTCGTCAATAATGAAATGACAATATGAGCTCTAAGTTCTCAAGAGACAAAATACCTTCAGATCATGGATCTCTACTTTACCCACAGCAGGCCAATTGGTTGAGGGCCGGCTTGCCTCTATAATTTCAGGTGCTTCACTAGGTATGTTCATGTACTGGTTTAGTCTCTCTACAGAAATCATGTGATTTGTTAGTATGCACTGGCTTTTAATGGAGTAAACGAAGGCCATGTTCATTGAGAGACCATAAGTCAGTGCCATTCCGATAAATCCTGCAGCAAGAAGTTGGTATTGAAATAGTTCAATAGACAAAATATGTGCAAGAATCTATGGTTGATAAGTGGTTTAAAAGTGGGAGGTGGAAGGTGATTATATATGTTAATTTCCACAGAGATAGTATTTTCATTCAAAAAAAATTGAATGGTTTATCCAAATACCAATGTCCATAGTTGCATATATACTAGGAAAAATTGCATATTCAAGTAAATGTTTAAGATATTTTCAGAAGAAGAAAGCAAATGATCACCAGAGCCAAAAGTTCCTGGAGGAAGCAACACCATGGCAAGTGCAGAGGCAGTAAGAACAGTGCTACTCAGCATTTCTAAACGTTGAATCAGCCACTCAGTGGTTGCAAAGTTGTGGAAGAACGGAGTAGAATTTGTGTCAATGAGGTCCAGATTCTTTGCAAAGAAGTGTTCTTCCTCATCAAAAGCTCTGATTGTCATGGCTCCTGCTATTGATTCTGCTAGATGATTTGCTACCAAAGATTTGGTTGTGCCATTTATCCGCATTAACTCTTTTGCAGAAGCATAGTAGTACCTCTATGGATTAAAAATTAACTTCTAAAGAGTTAGTTGTTGATGAAAAGGCTATAACAATTATATTTGTGGGAGTGAGTGAGTTTGCTAGTTGAGTCATTTAGTGAGCTTCCCTAAATGACCAAAAAGGCACCATATGTGTGTCTTGCAGGCTCTACTTATGGGACAAATTTCAGCCCCAAAGCACTTGCCACATGTACACAATAAGCCCTTATTTTGGGGAACTTTTGTATTAAAAATTAAAACTATGAATAGACAATATTTTGCCAGGGAAATTCAAAACAGGGTGGGGTATAGGTCTGATGTGACATGAATATTGAACACATGGCTAATCCAGAGGATCCCCTACTTGGTTATAGGTTTGGATCTGCCAAATCATCTCTCCATGTGGCAGAAACAGGGGAGTTGCTGTTATATATGTATTTATGTATGTATGGATTACTTTCAGTTCTTCCTGCCCCTGCACTCTGCACGCTTAAACCAAGTGGGTTATATTAGATAGTTGAGACAGTATGATTGAGGAAGAATATTTGCCCCAGGAATCAGTTTCTTATCCAAGTTAGCCACAGTATAGTGCCCAAAAATTCAAGTTCGGAAGCTATTTGTATGATAGGAAACATGTTGCTTCATACAATTTCTGGGTGACCTTGGTGGGCCTTGGCGCAATGGTTGGGTTGCTCCGTTGTGACCTGGGTGATCAGGTTTCAAATCTTGGAAACAACCTCTTTGTATGAGCCAGGGGTAGGGCTGCGTACATCCGTCCCTCCCCAGACCCCACATTGGCGGGAGCCTTGTGCACTGCTATTGTCAGATAAACCATTGCTATAAAGTCTTCCTCCTTTCACATCTTATTACCTGTAGGCGTATTGTCAGATAAACCATTGGTATAGAGACAAAAAGGACTTGCCAAGTAACAACAACCAGTACTCCTAGGTTGGCATATGAACTAATGGTAGATCCAATGGTAAACACTAAGCTGAATGGAACATCAAGATCGATGAGATTTAAATCAGAAGAGACCTATAGAAGAAGCATGAAGTTAAGTTAGACAAATCTCTAAAGCATAGATTTCAGTATTTGTTTTTTTTTTTGATATAGATGCTTACCCGGCTCAGTATTCTTCCCAGAGGTGTAGAGTCGTAGAAGGACATAGGTGCACGGAAAAGAGAGTTCTGTAGCTGAGAAAATAAGGACTTGGATGACTGGATACCTAAAGCAACTATAGCAAGAGATCTGATGAACAAAATGAAAACTGAGAAAAATCCAATTGCCAAGTATACTAGGATTAGTTTCAATCTGCTAACATGAGGGTTTTGAACGTTTGCAGCCATCCAGGAATTCTGTGATATTAGTCCAGCCACAAAAATGAGGTGAGTGAGAATTGCAAGAGAAATGTAGAAGAATCCCTTGTTCTGACTCAGATACAAAATGTATGGCTTGAAACCCATATCTCCTGTTTCTCTCTCTTCTTGCTTAATCAACTGATCTTGTACTGATTCTTTTAACTGTTTTCTGGTATAAGTCTTCTTTATATCTCTAGAAGAGGTTTCATGTCCCTTGGAAGAAACTACCCCAGCCAACCTTTCAGGACTTGCAGTTTCCTTGTGCGCATTGACAAGGTCCAGAAATTCTTTACTAGTGGCCAATAGCTGGTGATAAGTAGCAGCACGCAGGATTTCCCCATCTGACATTAACTGTGAAAATGATAGGTTCATTTTAAAATACAGCATACAGTAGCATATCATCTAGGAAATTATAATTCGACAGAACATGACTTTTGATGGAGCAAACTTCCAGGAGAGGATTCATGTAGCTACAGCATTGTTTTGTGAATGAATCCCAAATAGTTGAGATTAAGGCTGAAGAAAGGAAAATGATATTATTTCACAAAATGCATTCATAAATTGCTTTGACATCAGTTCATGTACAGATACAGCATCCTTCCACCACTATTACCACTTACATGTTAAGCAAAAAACAATTTATTAAACTAATCAGTCACATTAGGTCACTTCTCAGTTACAACTTACAACAGCTTGGCAATTTAGTGATTTCTGGCAATCAGTTGCATTTTTTTTTTGTTTGGGGGGTGGGGAGAAGCCATGAAAAATCAACACATGAATGATGGATTTTTGTGACAAGCAGCTCCAGGAACTACAAAATCACACCCAAAAAAAATGCTAAAAGAAATGAAACCCATCTGATAAAATAACTTCAGCGACTCTAAAGATCAGATTATACTACTTCAATGTTGCATGGACTTGGACAATTGAGTTGGAACCTGACTTATTTCCAACTTGGCAAAATGAGAAAACATGGACTTATAGACATATTTATAGAGAAGTATATACTATTAAAATAGTTCATATTATTTGAATTTCAACATTATTTACCTATAAAAAAAGGGGTTTAGAATGTTATCTTTGTTACTAAGTAATGTTTTATAGGAAAAATGGCATTCATTTTGTACATTATCTGTTCATTTATGTCAAATAAGCTAGTAGAAGAAAAGGAAATGTTACATAGAAGTGCCCTTCAGGTATATGTGGAGTGTTGGCATCCAATGCATGTTTGACAGAGACATGTTTTCCATTTACAAGTGTCTATGCAACACTGCACTACCAGTAATCAAAATCAAGAAAGAAACATAAAGCATTTTTTGGAGCCCCTGTCTCATAAAGTAGTTCCAGCAGATATGACCTGAACTCATTTTGACCAGTACTCCCTAAAAATTCCTTCATACGTAATCATGGCAAGCCTACTGGTAGGGCTATGTCATATTGATTGGAAAGCACAAGTTGATTGCACTTTTAGCAATTCAATTAATAGTAATATTTTTTTGTTCATATATAAAAATTCTTACCTTTGATAGACAAAAGAAAACAAAAGACGAGGCCAAAAACTGATTAGTCCTAAATTTGCTCTTAGGTTCACAATAAAGGGTAAGCATAAGTTTTTTTTTTTAGAATTTATAAAAGAAGAATACAGGAGTTGAATTGCCACTAACCAAAACAGAGTCAAATGCAGGAAGAAAATCAACTTGGTGGGTCACTAGTAAGACAGTTTTCCCCGACAGAGCTCCCATTACATATTCCTGAAACAATCCAAATCAGATATCAATACAAATGGTAGCCATAAATGTATAAATTTCATGGAAAAGAGAATATGAAATTACATTAAATAGGCTGGTAGCAGTATGTGCATCAACAGCACTGAATGGATCATCTAAAAGATAAATGTCTGCATTCTGATACAATGCACGAGCAAGTTGAATACGCTGCTTCTGACCACCACTTAGATTAACTCCTCTTTCTCCTATTTCAGTAAGATCACCAAAGGGTAGCATCTCAAGGTCCTTTACCAATGAACACTTCTCAACAACTTCTTGGTATCTTTGCCAATCCATTTTGGACCCAAATAGGATGTTTTCTTGTATACTTCCTGTCTGGATCCATGCAGTCTGAGAGACATATGCAATCTTTCCATAAACTTGAATCTGAGAATGAAACAAAAGGAGCCATATTTATTAATAGATGATTATTGACCATATCCTGTGGTTTCTTGGAAGAGCAGACAACTCTTTCCAACATGGGAAATGTAAATCGGTCTTAGAAATGCTACTAATGTTATTATGTAATTTAGTTCAACCATATGTAACTGAGGACGAAAAAGAACAACATTTATCAGCTATTATAAGTATGATTCCTTGTAAAGGCTATCAGTATATGATGAAAAGACTTTTGCTCCATTAAAAAAGGAGGAAATAATCCTTTTCACTGTGGATGACAAGGCCACGCTTCCCTGTTTTTTGAAAATATTTAAACTTTTTATGATAATATTGGGTGAAGTTACTTCAACATCCACCATGAAAAGAACTAGTTCCTTGTTTTTAAAAGGAGGGAAAATAAACTCATACAGCCTCTCTGTATGTGCAGGGGTAGGTCTCCATACATCTGTTCCTTCCCAGATCCCGTATTGGTGGGAGCCTTGTGCACCGGGCTGCCCTTTTCGCCCTTTATGGAGTCAATAGACCTTATGAAAGCACATTCTTGTCCTCAAAAAGAGTATCAATATGAGCCTCACAAGCATTTTTTTTTTCTTTTCAGAATACCAGATGGTATTTAGAACATTCCATGAAATGAAACAAAAAAAAGTCCCTATAATTAAATCTCTCTTGCAAGAATTAAATGATATCTCTATAATATTTTGACATTTCAAAAACTGTGTATTTCCTTCATTTAATTCAAAAACTAAGGAAAAAAGAGATGGAAAAATATCAAATAAGATTCTGGAAATTTTCCCACTGGTGAAATTGTTTGTGAGTCGTGATGCATATCAGAATACACTTAGAAGTGACATTTCAAGGTAAGATGTATGCAACAGAGTCCTTGTAACTGGAGACATTTCTTTCTCAACCATGTACAAGAGAACAAATTGGGGTGGCAAATAATAGCTTACCTTGCCCTCAGTACAAGGAACCTCTCCAAGAATTGCTGCTAAAAGGGTTGATTTGCCTGAGCCAACCTCTCCACATATAGCCATTTTTTCACCAGGTTTAACCTCTAAACTTATGTTTCTTAGTGTGGGCTTCAATGAATTCTCTTCCCATGAAAGATTGGCTGACTTGATAAAAATTGAATGCTCAAGCACCTCCATGTTGCACTTGTTCCTGATGTTTCCACTTTGCAGATCAGGTGCCTCGAGAAACTTTACAATCCGTGCTAATGCAACTTTTGCTTGAATTATCACTGCAATAACATCAGGGATTGTTCTAACAGGGTCTTGAACAAGCTTTAAGGTTGCTAGAAATGTGAAAACATTACTAGCGTAGAGAGGAACTTCAAGGAAGTAACACGTTCCAAAGGTAGCAGCTGAGACTAATACAGGGGATGACCAAAAGAGAACAACGTTGTATGCTTTTCTTAGTTGAACGGCTGACAACCATTTACATTCCTCCTTCCTCAAGCTTTCTACGAAATTCTTAAAATGGGTCTCCCATGCATAAAGTTTCAATACTTTCATGTTCACAAGAGACTCAGTACTGGCCTTCAACCTCTCATCTTGTGCCACCATGAGCTTAGACTGGAACTTGTGTTGCAGTTTGGCCAGAGGAGTATTGCAGAGCACAGTTAATACTATCGTAACCATGGCTGCGATTGTTGCAAGTCCCACAGCATGAAAGAGAATCACTAATGCAATGCAAAGCTGAAGGACTGTTGTCCATGTCTGGTGGAACCAAAATGGGAATTCACCTATCCTATAAGCATCTACAGTGACATAATTTGTTATCTCTCCAGATGAATGAATCATCTTGGCTGCATTTGAGAGTCTCAGTTGCTTTCTATAAATAGCTGACGATAGCAAAGATCTTACTTGGAGGCCTATTAATCTGGTGCGGAAGTACCACTGCCTCTGGGATACGGACTCCAAGCACTTTGCAAAGAACAATGATATTGCCAACACAAAACCTTCATATTTAAAGGATTCTTTCCCTTCGGCAACCTTAATGAATGAATTAAGAAGCAGAGGACCGGCAGACAAGGTAAGTATCTTAAGCAATGCAAAAGATCCAGAAATTAAAATCTCTCTCCAATGGCAACAAACTATCGCCCACAAAATAGAAGGTGGTACAGATGGTCTTCTTTGTTTTTGTACATTCAGTTGCTCCAGAAAGAGCAAATAGCAGGTTTCTGCTCGATCTAACTCACGCAACTGGGGTATGTCTTTATCTTCAAGTGTTTTTTCTTTACCTTTCTTCATCAAGGGGTTCAACCACCAAAATGAAATCCTGCTAAAAAATCCAGCTCTGGAAAATGGAGTCACATTGCCACATGAATCGATTTTACTGTTGCCTCCGTCTTGACCAATCAAGGGTGCATGTAGAGAACTTCTGCCGTCCATTTGAACAACTTCTCCATATTCACATCCTTTATAAGTGTAGAGCAGCAATAGAATTGCTGCTGGAAAGGATAATACATCTATCACCGTCTTAATCGTTACTCTTCTCCCTACAAATAGAGACAGGACAGCCAGAAATCCTGCTAGCAGGAAGGCAAGTATGGACCAGAGCCTCAGAAAGGCTTTTGGAAGTTGCTTTCCCCGAAGGCTCACAGTTAAACACATCAGCAACCATGTGAAGCCCTGAAATAGCATCACTAGCCACAGATGCAGAGGTAAAGTAGTATGTCCGTTTCTCAGTGTCTCTTCTAGGATCCAGACCCCATAACTCAGGTAAACCAACCCCAGACCACCATTGAAAATGGTAGAAGATATCTGTAAAAGGTGAAAGCATTGGAAGCGGGTGGAAGGTTGAATTCTTCTTGGCAATGTCTTGCAAAAGAAGTCGAATAGGAGCAATAACAGAAGAAGTAGATCAACAAAAATGACAAACATGTCGTTGATACATGACGAAGGATAGATGATAGAAACCAAACTGGAGCTGCATTGATTTCCACCACTATATGAACAATCAGATTCCCCACAGAAAACAGTCCACAAGTACTCCATCTTGCTTGATCCCACTGCTTTTCAAATCCTGCCCATCACGAAAGTACAAAAAACTAAAAAAAGACGAAAGACTACCTCTGATGCAAAAAAGCAAATTAAAAAGGAAAATTGTTAGAACGTGATTATGCATGGAAACTAGAGATGGTAAAACAAGATTTCTTTGTTCACTTTGGAAAGACTGGTTAATAGTGGGGAAGAATTTGGAAGAAAACTAGTTTAGATTCACTACCAGAAACGTAAAACCCATATATAAAACCGACGACAAAGTGACATGGCGAAGAACTGGAGTAAGAACTTTATACTTGAAAAATACGTTTCGCAACCTATCCCCCCGCAACCCAATAAATAAAATATAAGTGTTTGGAGTTTGGAAAATTTTCATTCCTGAATGGAGTTATGGAGTTTATCAAAATTGTCCAAGGAACATACCTCAAAAGGAAGAGAAATATGTTGGGAGCTAAATGAGCTTTGGGTTATGGCACACCTCAATAGATCAGAAGAATAATAGTTAACTTTAACTTAATTTGTTTTCCTTCTCCTGTTCCAGAAATAGTAACTTCTTACAGCTTCTGGTTTGTTATTCCTGGGGAAGAACACGATTAACATATACAAAGTACATAATATCAGAAACCCAAGATAACCCATGCATGTTATTATTACTAATTAATCTAGCTAGTAGTGAGTTTTACAGTGCATAGAAATACAAAAGTAAAATAAATAAAATCTGGTAATACCGCAACCTTATCCATGTATCGTGATCGTATAAACCTGGTTTTTAAGTTAGTATTTCAATATACTATCTCTTCTTTTTTATTTGGAAACAGTAGTTAGTACTATAATTGGAGTTCATGGAATGAAAGCGATGAAGTAAACCTTAACGATATTACTAACTACTGTTTTTGATATTTAGCTCGTTAAAAAGGTGACATTTTTGAAATTTTTTTAAAAATATTACTTTTATTGATATTAAACCCCAAAAATTGCCCTTATATACTATTATTCTAATAAATACGGAAGATATTTCCAATGCATGATAGGATGTGCGTGTAAGGTACCATATGTAAGGAATGTCCGCACGATAATTCAGTGGGTAAAGGACTTCCCCTTTCTAATTGAGTCATCTAAAAGTCTGTTTTTGCCCCTGTTAGTTCTTCAAATTTTCAAAATAAAGAAGAAGCCCTATTCAGAAGAAACGAAAACTTGGTATGCACCAAATCCCAAACTAACTATGTTCAAGAACAATAGCAGAAACCAAAAATCCAGTATTCATGGAGTTCATTGAAGATTGAACAACCTTTTCGCCGCTAATTAAAAACCGTATGATTCACAATCGATTATAGAAGGGGGGAAATTGAAATTTAAATAAAGGAAACAGTGCCCTTGTGACCTTGTCCTCATGCCCATGAACCAGTGCCCCTCATCACACTTTTCATTTTCAACTAAGCACCAAATGATGTGGGCCTCTGTCTTTCTAATGTGTTACCGCCATGTATCAATGCCCTCGTCCTCAACCTCATGAATTCTTGGAAATCCATCCCTGTGAATAAATGCATACAAAGAAGGAAGAAAGAAACTATTATAGTTTACAAACAGAAGTGACCAGGGACCGAGAACTCGCAAACATTGAAAAAAAATAAAAAACATAACACAGGAAAAATAGCAGACTCCCCATTTGGAGAGAATGCAAGATTTTTGTTTTTGTAAAGCAGATCTTTAAGTAGTGAGAGGAGCTCCAAACCACTCCTGGTTGACAATGTGCTACCTCCATTACCGTTAATTTTGACAAAGAAGAATTAGTTCATGTATCCAAAATGAACTAACTCATGTATCCAAACCTGTAGAAAAGTATTGAGCAGATGTGTTATTTTTGTTGTTGCGGAAAATTAGTTCATGTATCCAAAATGGTGTAAAATTGGGTTTTTTCAAAAAAATTAATCACTCGTGACCTTCCCTCTTGATGGATTGTCAACGGAGGGGACATTCATTTTTGTCCAATGACATCACCTAACAGGGATGGTCTAAGTCCAATCCAAAAAGGGAGGGGGAGATTTAAGTATGCAGGAGAAAAATGAATGGAGGTTTAAGTCTTTTCCCTTAATTCAGTATCCACATTTTTAAAACGTGCCAACAGGTTCAAAGTATCAATGCACCCTTATGTATAGACAGAGGTGTTACGGTACTTAAAATAATGCATCGTTGTATATTTTTCAAAATTTGATTTTTAGGCTTGTTTTTAACCATATTTTTATTAAAAAGGAGGGGCTCTCGAAACACCTGTAAATAGATGTATCCAAACCCCAATTGGACGATACGATACGCCCCGTATTGGGCATATTGTATCAAAATTTTGAATTTTGTGTGCCAATCTAGTACCTACCATTAACCAACTATTAACTAGCCGTTAAGTGGAATTTGAAAATATACAAATGTCCTTCGAGTATCATCTAATTTTCTTTATCAAATGTTGACAAAATATGAACATTTCCAAATCCATGCCTCTTCTATTCAAGAAAGTTGGGGTCACCAAAATGCTCACTGAGACGTGACCCCAACTTTCTTGAATAGAAGAGAAAAGGATTTGAGACTGTTCATTTTTTGTTAAGTTTGGATGATTAATAAAGAAACTTAGATGACACTCAGAGGGCATTTGTGTCTTTTTAAATTCCACTTAACGGTTGATTAACGAATGGTTACAACAGGTACTGGATTGGCACATTTTGAAAGTTCGGAGATCAAAGTGGTTCTAAGCCCAAAGTACAAGGTACTAATAGGGTAATTTCCCTTAAATTAACACATTTATCTATTTTCTTTTTTGGTATTTTCTTATTTTATTTTGATTTAAAAATATAAAAAAATAATCATTGTTAATTTTGATTAGATAAACTATGTTATATTGTTAATAAAGTTATATATTATTATCAAGATATTATATTATTAAAGAGAAAGAGGAACGTTGATTTTCAGAGGTGTCTTATCTCAATACATGTTATTATACATTTAAGAAAGATATTAAAAGAGGGAGGGAGGGAATAGCAATATAACATAATACAATAAGGATCTATTTGGTTCCTTTGAATTGATGCTTGGAATCAGAATCGAAATGGCTAATTGTTTCCGTTTGTTTGACAAGAATGGTAATAATAATAATATTATGAAAGTAATAATAAGATAATAATAGTAAAATAAGAATATATTAATAATTAAATATTAATAAAATAAGAATAGTATAATAATTATTTTATTTTGATATGTTGCACATAGAACTCATGTTCTAATGTTGTATTATATTTTGTTTATTCTTTCTATAGGTTGAAAATACATAAAAAACTTATATAAAATAGATGACCCATTAAAAATGATAAAAATAAAAATTAATGAAAATTTAAGATCCACTTAGATTCCATTTGAAAAAAACTTGGGTTGGACTTGGACCAACTAGGCTCAAATTGGAATATCCTAAGGCTCCTTACAATTATTGTGCCCCAATTTTAAATTACCATATAACATGAGAAGACCTGTATATGTAACATGTACAATACTATGTAGTTACAATGCAAGGGACTAGGGGTGACTAAGGGTGCAACTTGGGCAAGGCCAACCTAAACTTGAACTAGCCCAACCAACATTTTTGCATGGGTTGGGCCTCAAATTTCAGTCCTTAGGTTAGGCTTGGGCCAAAAGCATTAGGCTTTTCTATTTTTTGCATGGTTTTGAAAACCGGACAGGACCAAACGGTTGGAGTGATTGACCTAGGAATTGGTTAAGCAACTGGTTTTGTTTCACCCAAAAACCATTGATTTGGTCAGCTACCTGCTGACATGAGCGGTCGAACCATCGACCCGAACAATGTTTTTTTGCCGTTATTTATTTAATTTTTTTAAATCAAAATGGGTCGTTCGTTCAAAGTGGATGATTGAACCTTTTGACTTGGGAACCGGTGGCCAAAACAGTTCCATGTCCAATCTGGTTATTAAAACCTTGATTTTTGGTGCTGGACTTGGCAATATTCTCTATGTAGCTCTAGCTTGGATTAAACCCAACTTGACCTTATACTTATTTGAGCCTAACCCAACTATGCACAAGAAACTTTTTAGTGACCTTACCTAGCTGAAAATTAACATGCATGCATGATACATACACAAAATTCCTATTTAAAGCTTTAAATTAGTGATGGTAAAATAGGTTCATGCAACTTTTTAGTGCATTGAACCTAATAGGCCCACTTAAGCCAAATTAACCAATCCAAGCTCGACTTGAGCTTGGATCCAACCCGAGCATGTCAACTTTTATTTCAAGTTAGGGTTGGGTTAGAAATATCGTGCTTGACCACATGCCCAATTTGGGATGAGGCCTTAAGTCCAATATCTAGGTTTATGCCCCAAACCCTAGGCTTTTCTATTTTTTGTGCTGGGCTCAAAGCTAGCCTCTAGGTAGTTCTAGCCTTGACTTAAACTTAGCTTGACCTTAGCCTAACCCAACTATACACATGCAACTTTTTAGTAATAGTTCGAATTAAACTCAACATGCATATAGGCCTAACCCAAGATATACAAAACTCTCATTTAAAGCTTTAAATTAGTGATAATAAATAGGTTCATGCAACTTTTTGGTGCATTGAACCTAATAGACCCACTTGTGCCCAATTGACCAACCTAAGCTCTATTTAGGCTTGGACCCAACCTTGAGTATATCAATTTTCACTATAGGCTAGGCTTGGGTTGGAAAATTATTTTTTTTTGAATTGAAAAACACAAAGAGCCAATCTTTCGCAGAAGTAGTCAAAAGGACAGCCCAGTCGGACCAAGGTTTGCGCCCACCCAGAGGAGAGAAAAATGACTTTAGTTCCTGATCTGACCCAATCGGGTTCTTAGTGGGTCAAACTAGGTCTAACCTAAAGAAATGACCTTAGGTCTTACTTGACTCATGTGATACTTTAAAAGATCACGTGAGTCGGGTCCCTTTGGGCACGACTGGAGACCATACTGGTGGTCTATCATCATCTTCATAGGAACTAAATATGGATGCTTCACGAAATAGCTGAAATCGTAGAAATGAGTTGAAGCCAAACTTGCAATGGGCTCTAGTCTCTAAATCCGAAGTAGGGAACCAAGATAAGTTGGGAATAGATCGTCCAAACCCTAGGTATTCCAAAGGTTGGAGAGAGGAGTATGAGGAACATGAAGAGGAGGACATTGGTTGGATTCACTACAAATCCCTTTGATGATGACTACGAACCAGATTCTGAAACAGAGAGCAACAACTTTGGGGAAGATATGAAAGAGAAAGAGGAAGTGGAGAATTTGCTTAGTGCGGTTGCTGAACTATTCGTTGTGGAACAAAATGAGATAACTTCTATTTCAAAATTTTCTAATAATGGTGGAATTCTGAGAGAAGTAGAGTACACTTTGGTGGGTAAAGGGGAAAACTGTATAATGGAAAGAGGAACACCAAGTCAGAATTTGAACAGTGGGCAGGGAACCTGTAAGATGATAATAGTTAATCTTCAAACTTCGGATAAGGGTATCACAAGAGGGGATAAACGATAGAGCGGTGGGAGTAGTTGTGAGTGTGAATCAGG